GGGGAGACCCGCGGGGCCATCCCGGGGTGGCTGTCGCCGCTTTCTCTTTGCCGTGTGCACGGTCCTACATCGGTGAACTGCTGGCGGACGCGGACGCTGTTGGCTGCGCTCTGCTGTGTGTCTCCCTCCCCCTCGCCGTGGGTTGTGCCATCGCTCTAGGCTGTAAGCTCTCTGGGCGGGACGGCGCTGTACCGTGTGTGAAGCACTGTATACATTGCCATGGTGTATAAAAACGGACACTAATCACACTAAGTGCTGCCTCTGGATCCTTCTCACTGCCTGAGCCCCAGTGCTGGTTACAGAAAAGTGAAGTTGCTCCCACCAGGATTCCTATTAGTTTGGCTGTTTCTTTTTCCCAGACCTTAATGCTGCTTGGATTTAATGCTTGTCAACACTGACTAAGGGCTAAAACTTATTGGTTACTTCCACCACTCCAGTTTGTCTATAAATGGGAGAAGGCAGAGCCGGTGACCCTATTTGACAGCTCTTTTGAGTGATGGGTGCTGAAAAACACTGGCAGGTCACAGTGTGTGCCACATGGTCTGGGCAGGGCTGCCTGGGAATCATGACATCCATCACTTGGGAGGCACTGGTCCCTCCAATACACACCAGTTCACTGCACTGTGTGCCCTGTGTAACATGCAGCACACAGCAGCAGTTCCATGTGCAAATGTGGTTTTAGTTTGTGAGGAGGAGGAGCTAAACATTCCTCAGAGGTTCCTGCACTGGCAGCACTGCTTGGTGAGCTCCTGCCTCACAGCCCCTTGAGCTCTGGGGTGCTGCAGCCACAGCCCAACCCGAGCCTGAGCTGCTGCCACTGAGTGCCAGCTCACATTGGCACTTTTGGGAGTGACTGTAAGGACACAGTGGGGTTGGAGTTCAGGAGGAAGTGTGAGCAAACAGGCATTGCACAACAACTGCTGAGGCCGTTAGAGGTCCATGACTGCATTGCTGTGCTCTGTTACTTGCCTGCTGAGCAGAGACCCAGACACCAGGTGTCTACAGTGCCCCACACTTTTTCTTGCATCGCCTGCCTGGAAGGATGGAAACATCTTCCAAGGGGCTGAAAGGGTTGAGTTCCTCAGTGCTGATTCCAGTCAGTGCTGTAAGTAGCTGAGCAGCTCCTGCTTGTTCTTGGTCACTGTCAGCTCCTGCCATTCTGCTCTGCTGAAATAGCCAATGGTGTATGTGCACAGGAAGGGCAGCAAAGATTACTAAATTCGAGTGAGTTAGCCCCTAAAACTCCAGGTGTTTGCTGAAGAGCTGCTGTACAGCTCCTGCTGCCAGGCACTCACTGCAGGGCTCAGGGGAAGAGCACGCTGTGTGCAGCTCTGTGCTGCTGCCACCCTGACTGTGCTGTGTCCTGTGGGGTGCCTGAAGGCCTGACTGGAGTTCAGTATCCAAAGGAGCTGGGAATTATGTAAAATGCCTTGTTTCCCCTCAGTTCATTGCCCGTGTGTTTGGGGCTGCCAGAGAGGAGCAATCTGTGGCTCTGTTTCAGAGACTTCCCCTGGGGGA